AGCCCGGATGGTGCGGGGGCTGCACAGCCCTGCTGAGGGCGGACAGCCTCGGTGTCTTTCAAATGCGGTGCTGCGCCTGCTGCCCTTCTTGCTCTGGTGCATCTCCTCAGCCGCCCTCGGCCCTTCCCCCGTGGCACGGCCTCCTGACGCTCTCCAACCCCAACCCCTTTCCCCCCAGACCCGCGCACCGGGGCCATGCCGGCGGCCGAGGCCATTCATGGGGCCCTCATGACCCTGGGGGAGCTGCTGCGCCACACGGGTGAGGGGACCCGCTCATGACGCGCATGCGGCCGCGGGCGTCTGACGTATACGCCCCGCCTCTGATCCGTTGTGGCGCGCGCAGCCGTTGTCCCCCTCCCTTCCCTGCGCTGCCGTGGGCCTGCGACAACCCCAAATGCCTCTTCTTTTGCCCTCAAGTACACATGCACGCGCGCCTGCACACACACACACACACACACTCACACGCTCACACACGTACACACGCACACACACGTACACACTTGCACACTCCTGCACGCCCACACACACACACACACACACACACACACAGGCGAGTTCCTGTTGGCGCGCTATCGGGAAGTCGTGGAGACGGTTCTGCGCTTCAAGGACTCAAAGGAGAAGCTCATACGCAGGGCCGTCATCAGCCTGCTGCCGCGGCTGGCGGCATTCGCGCCGGAGCGCTTCGCGCAGGTGACAGGCGCCGCCTGGCCCCGCGACGGCATCCTCTTGGACTTCGTCGGCGTGTCGCGCCCATGCCCTGATCAGCAACCATAACACACAACTCGTTGCACAGCCTCCCATCACCTGGTTTTCCTCGCATCCCACGTTTGTGCGTGCTGTCAACAAAAAGAAGAACACACTGAATCGCCATCTGCCCCCGCCCCCACCCCCAACCCCCAGGATTACCTGTCTAAGTGCATCAGCCACCTGCTGTCAGTGCTGCGCCACCCCAGCGAGCGCGGCGCCGCGTTTGGGGCGCTCGCGGACATGGCCACCAGCCTGGCCGCGGTCGGCTGCGCGGGCGGCTTCAAGGACTGCCTTCCCGCCATCGCTGCGCAGGTGTGTTTTTGTGTGTGTGTGTGTGTGTGTGTGTGTGTGTGTGTGTGTCTGTGTGTCTGTGTGTGTGTGTATGTGTGTGTCTGTGTTTGAGGGGGGCAGTGGTCGCACACGGCAGTCGCGACTGTGGCTCGTGGGTGGGGGCCGCTATTCCGCCTGCTCTGCCGCCACGAGGGGTTGCGGACAGCTTCTTGCCTTGGACCTCCGCCAGTATGCCGCCTCCTGGAACCTCTGAAGTTGCATATGGCGACCTCTTGCAATGCACCAGGTCACTGTTTGTTGGCCGCAGCGACACTTCCAACAAGCAAGCCTGCATCACTCTAAGGTCATATCATCCCCTACCCCCGCCCCCCACAACACACACATACACACACCAACACGCACGGGACTCTTGAACACAGGTCCGCGACGCCGTCGCGCCGCGCGGCGGCCCCGGCTCGGGCCTGGCCATTACGGCGCAGAAGCTGGGCGCCGCAGGGGGCAAGCCCGCGGCCGGCGGCGGCGGGCCCGTGCCCGAGGCGCTGGTGTGCGTCGGGGCCCTCAGCCAGGCTCTGCAGGTGGGTGGGGCGGCGGCAGGGTGGGACCCGCGCCGTCGTCGAGGCCGTGCATCTGCCTGCGGTATGCTGCCTTGAAGCAGGTTGCATGTTTTCTTTCGTCTTCAACACCTCTGAGCCTTGGCCCTGAGCACCCCTGAACACTATCACCCCTTTGATGCAGCCACCAACGCTGGAAAGCAGGAGCCAACCTCCCCCAACGTCGCCTTCACCCTCAACCACCACCCGCCGCCCTGCCCCTGCCCTCCCCTGCCGCTCCCCCAGGGCCTGTGGAAGCCGTACGTGCAGCAGCTGCTGGAGGCGATGATGCTGACTGGGCTCAGCGAGACCCTCATACGCTCCCTGGCGGCCATCGCTGAGGCCCTGCCAGAGCTGCTGGAGGACATCCAGGTGGCTGATGGGCTGCTGGGCTGCTGCGCTGCTGGGCTGCCGGACTGCTGGGCTGTAATGTTGCTGGGCTGCTTGGCCGTTGTACTGCTGGGTTGCTGGGCTGCTTGGTTGCGGGGCCGTGGCAACGGTGGCCTGCTTGGTTGCGGGGCTGCGGGCCATGGTGCTGCTTGCCTGCCGGGCTGGCAGGCTGCGTTGCAAGTTGTACGGCAAGGAGGTCGTCAGGCCAGCGGGGAATGCAAGCCGTGCCCCTGCGACAAGCAACGCAGTTTGGGTGACGGTCATGGCAGGGATGGGTGTGGCTGTGAGCGCAATCTTCCCTCTCATCCCCACCGCTGATCAAAACCACCCCTCTACTCCCCACCTCGGACACCCCAACTCCTCCACATGAGAACCCTGACAACTCCCTCAACCCCTCAATCAGCCCCAACTCCTCAACCGCCCCTTCCCCCATCCC